GAGCCGAGAAGGGCGTCTCAGAACTGAGCTGAGCCTGGGTGAAAACGGGACAGAGAGTGAGGTTTATAAGGTGAGAGGCCAAGATGATAAAATATAAGACAGCAAACATGTAAGAAAGAAACTGAAGGTAAGACTTGTGGGGCTGAAGTAGAAAATGCACTGAAAACAGAAGTTATAGCTAAAGATTTTTTAAAATTTGAAATGCCAGAAAAGGAACGGCTCTTAAATTCTTAGAAGAGATGAACTAAAATAAAATAGATTTTATTTGAAGTGAAAATGAATGTTTTTCCACATCAAAGATATAACCTAATTTCCTGAGCAAGTATGACCTAATGACTGTTTTATGGTATTTTCTTCTAGTGCTTTAATGGAACCTGACGCTCACTTTCTATATATAATTTTATTTCCCTTCGTACCTGAGGCCAGGTCATGCTGCTTGTTCACATGAAAAATTTCCATGTTTGTAGTTTCAGATGCTGGAGGAAAGACTGGATTGGCAGGTCTTTCACACAGGGAGCTGGCTTTGTGCAGATGAGAAGCCTGGGATGGGAAGCTCAGGGCCAGGGGATGGCACAGGGGCGACCACAGAGCTGTGATTTGTCTGCACCACTTTCCCACAGTGGACGCACTGACCACCTGTCACGGACACACGCCAACAAAAAGGGGAGAAACAACAATGAATGTGCCTGATGATTTACTGCATTTCCACTAACACCCACTTCTGTAAGGCCATAATTCCCGCGTATATTTTAGAGAGCAAAGGAGGAGCTGGCGGGAGCCCTCTCTTACGGCAGACACTGAGACCGTGTAGGCATCTACACAGCTGAAACGCGCTCTGCTCCACTGCCATTTCGTGCCAGTACCAGTGCTGGGTCGCACTTTCAGGGAGGAGGGACTGTGGATCATCCAGTGCATCTTTTGCACATATTTGCAGTCACATCAAGTGCTGTTAGGTTTGGTTATTAGGACGCAGTAGTTTGCATAAACAGTGGCCGCAGTGGGGAGTGAAGCCAGAGGAGCTGCCCCTCCCTTGCTGTAAAACCATAGCAACCTGGTCAAGACTTGCATTGTCCCCTGACCTTTTTATTTTTATCAGCCCGTGTTTGCAGTATGAGTGCTCACATCCTTTGCAAGGAGCTGGTCCGTGCACACAACACGTCTTCATTGTTTCTCCATTCTTTCCTCCCCTCTACCTCCATCTTTTGACATCCTTCCTCTCTGAAAAAGATGTCTCGCAACTTCTTACTATCTGCCTTTTATTTTGCTCTTTATTTGTAATTTGAGATTCTTGTGTTAGAAAAGTCATGTGATATTTAAGCATGGGTGGGTCTGATTTATTCCCCTTATCATTATGACCTCAGGGTACACCTGTTTTTCTACCAGTAACTGGAGTTTATCTTGCTTTATGGCAGTGTAGTACTCCATTATGTGCAAATACCACATTTTCTTTTATCTGTTCATCAGTTGATGGACACAGAATGTTTCCAAGCTTAGCTGCTGTGAGCTGTGCTGCTTAAACATTGTATGCATGGATCTCCGTAATGTGATGTTTTTAACACATTTGGGAAGATGCATAGAAAGGGAATAGCTGGATTAAATGGAATTATAGTCTTGGTATTTTGTAGAATCTCCACAGTGATTTTCATGGGGTTGTACTAATTAACATCCTCACCAACAGTGGAGGAGGGCTCCTGTTTGACTTCTTGATGATGGCCATTATTATGGTTGATACATTGTGTCAACTTGAGAAGTTTAGAAGTTTAACTAAGAAATTCAGTTGGAGAGCCAGCGGTCTTAATTGTAAATATCTTCATCCCCTGCAAGAGGAGGGCACAGAGATTTTGTGAGTACTACACCTGCCCTGGAGTGGGTGGGAGGGTTGTGTATGCTGTAAGAGAGGAAAAGAGGCTCGCTCCTCCCTCCTTTCCCTCCGGAAGCTTTTGCTAGCTTGAAGTGTTGCCCAGTGCCATGCCACCCTGCCTGGGAGTCAGCTGATTGTGGACTGAAACCTCCACAAACTGTAAGCTAAATAAGCCTTTCCTTGCTGCATTTGGGGTGCTGGGTATTTTGTCCCAGCAACAAGAATAAAGTAACCAAGACAGCCGTTCTTCCTGGGGTAAATAGATTCCCACTATTGTTTTAATTTTCATACTCTGGTGCCCAGTGGTATTGAGCATATCTTTAAGTAGTTACGCTTTATGCTTCTTCTGTGAGGTTATCTGTTTCACTTTTTCATTTTTTGATTCTGTCTTCTATCTTGGGGTCTAATTTTTTTAGTTCTTTGTATATTCTAGACTTTAGTCTGCTAAGTAATAGCTGCAAAACTATTTTTTCACTCTGTAGGTTGTCTCTTCACTCTGTCAGTACTTTCTTTTCCTGCACAAAAGCTTTTGAATTGGGCTTGATTTCATTTGATGATTCTCAGCTCTATTTGCTAAGCAACAGGAAGGATTCTGTTTAGAAAACTCTTGCCTACTTTATGCTTTTAACTTTTACTTGTTTTGTTTTTCCATAAGTTGAGTGTTTCTGTTTTAACAGTTAGTTCTTTGGTCCTTTTGCTTTTATTAGTACATGGTGAGAGGTACTGGACTAGACTGAATCTTCTGAAGGTGGCAGTCTTTATCTTAACACCATTTAGTATTAAAGAGGCTATTTTTCCTTCAAAGCATATTTTTGAAGTCTTTGTCAGAGATCAAATATTTGAATGTGTCTGGGATTGTTTGTGTATCCTTTATTTGATCCTCTGTATTCTCGTGTCAGGATTGTGCTGTTTTTACCACAGTAGCTTTGCAATCTAACTTACACTTGAGAACTGTGATGCCTCCAACTTTGCTTGTTTCCCAGGATTACTTTAGCTACCGTTAGTCTCTTCTGGTTCTGAGTGAATTTTAGGATTGTCCTCTCCAGTTCTGTGAAGAATCTGGTTTGAATTTGATTGGAATTTCATTAAATCTGTATATCAATTTTGTGACCATTTTGGTTACATTCATTCTGCCTCTCCAGGAACAGGGGATATCTTTCCATTTTCCGTATTCTGTAGGTTATAATATAATGAGATTAGTACAGGATCAAGCCGTTTTTCAAGAACATTATAACTGTAATGATATAGTGCATTTATTAACATGTTCACAAAGTTGTTTTATATGCCTTAAGTGTAAAATATCATATATGAACCATTTATCTTATATGAACAATTTAAGGTGGACAAGGTAAGTAGAACATGTAATAGCTCAATCTGGAATAACAACTATTTGAAAATTAAGCATCTAAGTTCTGGGATGGAAGACTTTTACCAAAGATCAGAAATTCAGATTTTTGCAATTTTCAAGCCTGAACTGAGTTTATATGAAGACGGGCTGAACTACACCTCAGAACTCACACTCAGAAGCACACTCAGAAACACGTCCACAGGCATATGTAGGAGCCTGACTCCATCAATGTAGTCTCGGTATATTATTTATGATGAGAATCCCCAGTATGAGTCATTAATTATTCTGCAGATCAGGCCTCATAAGACAACCATGTATATTAAACACATCTGCATAACGAACAAGTATAAATTTATATAAAAGAGCAAGTTTTGCAATAATTACTAAGGTTAAAGACATATTTCCTATGTCTTTAAAACTTCTGGTTGGTGCTAGCTGCTTCTACTTTAAAATTATTGTTCTCTTATTAAGCTTAATGATTTGTAACTTAACATATGAATAGGTACTATTTCCTATGTTGTACATGACTTACAGAGTCTGTGTCAATTCCCTGAAAAAGATTGAAACGTAGCCCTGGGAAATATACTAAGCACCTGGCCCCAGAGCAAATGGGAAAGGAGCGCATGGCAAGGTCATGTGGTAATGACAACTGTTCGCAGCTGTGATGATCAGGCAGCAATTAATCGATACTGTATGATAAGCTCGAATCAGTGTTCTGACTTCCTTTCTGGTCTCCTAACAGTGGTGCTGACCTGTGAGTGTGTGCATGCGAGTGTGTGTGTGTGTGTGTGTGTGTGTGTGTGTGTTTCATTGGTACTTTGATAAGGTAATCCTGTGGGTGAAAAGGTAGATAGATTACTGTAAGAATTTAAATATTTGCAATGTGCTAAGTGCTTTCACTGAGATAAACTCAGCTTCTTAGTAAAGATGCAGAGTAAAGGCTGGAATCCCTCGCATATTTTCATGTAGTATGTGTGAGCCCTGGCTGTATCAGCCCAGTTATTTACAAAAGCAGTTTTGAGGTGGGGCTGTGAACCTCGCAGGAACCAGTTTGGTTGTCCTTTCTGGGGAAGATTGTGCATCTTAGAGAAAGTGCGAGCTGAGAAGGTAACCAGGGTTGGAGACAGGAGTAGGTGTCAGAGGGGCCTTCTGGCCATTGGGTGGTCAGTCAGGTGGAGACAGGGACTGTGTAACTGTGTAACTGTAACTGTAACTGAGACTGTAACTCATTTCAGTGGTCAGGGCTGTGGGTGGCCCAGAGGAGCTTTGGGAGGCAACTGCAGAGGGGTGTTTACTGATAGGCTACGGGGTAGGAGAGACAGAGAAGGCTCCTGGCCGGAGCCTCCAGTGGGATATCATCCTGTTCGCCGAGAAGGCAGTATCCGGAAAGGGCTCTTCCTCCCCCTTCCCACCGAACATGCTGATTAGAAGTTTAATCAAAATTATGTCATGTCTGAAAGGAAAAACAACAATGGTGAGAGCAACAAGTAATATTTGATGGCGCTTAAAGTTTAGGACATGTTCTAGTATTTTCCATGTGTGGTTGCCCAAAGGACTGCTGATCTTCCTCCTAAGAAAATGAGTTAATTTTTTGAAGTTCTTACATGATTTGTAACATCCCTTTCTATGCAAATGCATAAAGTTCAGTTCATATATACTTGACGATTTTATTAAGGAAATAAGAATGTCTTGTAATATATCCAAAGGAGGTTAAGACAAGGTGAAATGTGCTATGGTGGATGGCATTATTAAAGTGTGTGAGTTAACATATGCACTTTGTTTGCCTCACAGATCCCAGGTTTGTCAGTGCCCACCTCATCCCAGAGAGCGACAACCCGGAGGATGACAAAGTATATTTTTTCTTCCGTGAAAATGCAATAGATGGAGAACATTCCGGAAAAGCTACTCACGCTAGAATAGGTCAGATATGCAAGGTGAGGTGAGACCAAACACGGCAGGTGCGATGTCCAGTTTCGTGTCTTTGTTTCCTACCCGTGTGCAAGTACAAGGAAAAAGAGCTCAGATGTGTTCAACCCCATGAAGATGTCTGGACAGGACTAAGTGACGGGGACACATCGCAGTTTCTTTGCAGATGCTCTTCCCAGTGAGACCCAGGCAGATGTTGTGAGGAACAGCTTTATCCCACGACCACACTCGGAGCTCAGTGTGACAGTCTGGGGATGTAAAGTGTTGCTTGGCTGTAGAGATATCAATACCTGCATTACCTGGAGGAATATTGCTTTTGATATTTTTAGATTAAACAGTTTCCTACAGCTGGTAAGCTTCCAAGGCGTATTTGCTGCTGAATTGTAAGAAAATTATCAATTTAAGTGAAAAAACCTCAACACCCATTTTAAAAGCAGCTTATGGCTTCCTTCATACAGAAATAGGTTAGAAGCTCTTTCTGAGACTTCATTTATTGTGTGCAATGATGCTGGGTTTAATATCACTGTAATGTTAGGTATACAGAATAGGAACCTTCAATAAATATTCATTGATTAGTTAGTGTCATCAGACGGAAGCATGTTCAATGATTAGAAAATTAAGAGACTAAAAATACCTGGAAACAAAGAAATAAAATGTGAATAGGTAAACCTCTTTTCTCAAGAAAAAAAAAGATGGTTTTCAATGTTTTACATAAAAGAATTAGGGTTGGGGTATGGCTCAGGGGCCCAGCACCTGCCTGGCAAGCACAAAGTCCTGAGTTTGATTCCCAGTACAAAAAACCAGAAGATTAAACATCTTTAAAATACAGAAAATCATATGAACAAAATGTAAACCAGTGTTCTGTTTTGAAGGAACCTGTGTGTTCCTTCACCATATACTATTAAATATTACTTTAAAAGACTGTAGTTGCTAATAAATAATATTCCTTTCAGTAGAATTCACTGCTACACTTAGGTTAAAATTAACTTTTATTTGCAGTGAGGAGACATTTTCAAAATATTTTCTCTGGAATGAGCTTCCTTTAGTAAAATTTGTGCAAATATTTTTTGAAGTGTTATTTACAAAGTATAAATTGCTTCAGTACTTCAAGATTTAAAGTACTTGATGCTAGTGTGTTTATGGGAGAACACATTTGGGGCGTACATTATAAGGCCTGATTTCATCATCCAGTTAATCAACAGTGTCTGATCCCCTGCTGTGTACCAGTTGCTAGCTGGGAACCCATATGCACAACTGAGGAAGATTTAAAAATACCCTGGAAGCAATGAAAGAATTATATTAAATCAGACAAACTCCAGAGCAGAAACTGCTCACTGTAGAATGATAACAGAAGAGAGAAAAGTGACGTGAATTTTATAAAATGCTTTTAAATTGGAAATAAAAAACTGTGTATGTTTGTCATGTGCAGCGTAACGTTTTGCTGTACACGTGCATCTATGTATACTAACACCTGCATACCTCACGATTCCATGTGGTGGGGACACTTAAAATTCTTCTCTGAGATTTTAGGGAATATAACCCTTTATTATTAACTATAGGCACCAGGTTGCACTTTGGATCTCTCGAACTCCTTCCTCTGTTAAAGGAATCTTGTGTCCCCTTACCAACATCATCCAAAGCCTCCCCTCCCTGCCCTGAGCCTACGGCTCAGCTCTTTAGCCTTCTTATTTAACTGAGCTCACGTGGCATTTGTCTTTCTGGGCCTGGCTTATTTTACTTCATGCTAAGTTTGCAAAAGTTATCAACTTTTTAACAAATAACAGGAATTCTTTCTCTCCCAGGCTAAAGAGTCTTCCCTTATAAATACGCGCCACTGTCTTAAATTCCACTCATCTATTGATGGACTTAAAATGCGCTTTCAGTGTTAACAGACATTTAATATGAATGAATCCTAGAGTATAGTTTGAGCAAATGATTTGACTCACAAGATAAAACAGTGGTAGTTACTTGTATCTGCTTATTTAAAATGATCATGATCATTTTGAAAAGTAGAGAATTTGGAGACTCCCATGCTTACAAATAAATTTTTTTTAAAAAATGGGAAAATGAGAAACAGTATTTGTATTCATCTCAAGACACGAGAAAAGTTGTACTTGAAATTCCTGCTTGCAAGCACCTGTCAGACCTGGCCTCTGCTTTCAGAATGACTTCGGGGGACACCGCAGCCTGGTGAACAAGTGGACCACCTTCCTCAAGGCTCGGCTGGTCTGCTCGGTGCCCGGACCCAACGGCATCGACACGCACTTTGACGAACTGCGTAAGCAGCTGCTGCTTATTTACCAACGTTTGTTCAGACTTTGGCAAGACCCTGAAAAACGCAACTTTCCCCATTTTGTTTTTGTACAGAGGATGTATTCCTGATGAACCCCAAAGACCCTAAAAACCCAGTTGTCTACGGCGTGTTTACCACCTCCAGGTAAGCAACTTTTAGCACCGTTTTGTCACAGAAATTGCTGTCTTATCTTTTTTTTTCTTTTTTTTTTTATTGAAAGAGAGAAGAAAAAAAGAAAAGAAAGGACATAAAAAAACAATGCAGTAAAAGGGTACAAATAATACAGTATTTCTAGAAAAAAATATATACAGTACGAAATCATCAGTTAATAGGTTACATATTATCTTCCCAGAAACAGTTGTCCATATCACTAAATTAAAGCATATAAAGTGGACATTCATACAGTGATATTGGAGACAGTTTCATTCAATGATCCAACAAAAGCTCAGTAATATGGTTTTCCATCCTACACACTCGAACATACCTGTGGTTATATCCCTTAGTCCACCTTCCTTTCCTCTCTTTTTTACATTAACAATTAGACTTTTAGGGTTTTATTACTCTCACGGTTCTTATTACTTTTTTGAAGAGAATTAAACCAAATGTGACTAAGCAAAACAGAGTCAGTTAGAACAGAAGGGTGACATAGCATATGATGCAAAAATAGAATAGCAGGTGATCAAAGTTGGTTACCATTGTGCCTCTTGCTATTTTTAAATTGAGTTGTCTATATAATCAGGTATAATAGAATTGATCAAAACAGTACGGAACAAAACCAATAAAATCTACACTGAGGACCTTACAGGACTTTCTTTAGGCTTTTGTTTTTTTCCAAATGGGGTTGAAATAAGATAGGACTTAAGTAGTTGCTTGTTTTATAAAATACATTTCAGCAAGGGGTGCAGGCACTGTAAACAGAATGTGAAGTGGTTGGAAAACTTTGGTTCCTGTTTTGCATACAGCATTGATTTAAACATTCAACTCAAAGATGATGAAAACAGGAGCGTGGGCAAGAGTTGATAGGGGTCTAAACGGAGAGGGAGGAATCTTCATTCAGAATACGCATGTATCTATAACTCAGAATATATGCTTATAACTCATAATTAAAACACCTGCCCGCCCGCCCAGTCCCTCTGATCAATAACTCAGTGAATGAGGTGCAAGCAAAGCCCAGACGTTCCCCACCCCGCTGAGAGGAAGGCTGACATGGGAATGTAAGGGAAACGCAGCCTGGGAGGCGGAAGCAGCCCGCCCTGCTCCTCTGCACACTCCACCCTCCCGGCTGGCTGTCCCGCAGCCCTCCGGGGCAGAAAGGCGCTCACAAATGGAGCTGCTGGGTTGCCCTTAGGAGCTTTAAAAAGCATCCATACAGCAGTCTATGTTTCCGTTCTAGGAGTCTAAAACTCTTTGAAATGAACAAATGCATGCTCTTTATAAAATCTAATCTGTCTGTCTGTCGCTGACTCTCTGTGTCTGTTTCTGTCTCTGTATTTCTCTCTCTCTCTCTCTCTCTCTCTCTCTTCCTCTCTCTCTCTCTCTCTCTCTCTCTCTCTCTCTCTCTCTGTCTTTATGGCCACCTTGTAATCTACATTTTGAAAATAACAATATAGAACAATCCATTAAAACCAAGTAACAAAAATAGCCTTAGCAGTGAGCTCACCCTGGCCAATGGCCCCGTTCTGTTGCATACAAAGGCTAACTCCATTTCTCCTTGCTGCTCTCTGTCCCTCTGCCCCTTGAGCTGTCCCCTCTGTCCTTGCCCAAGGGTCTCCTGCCCGTATGGCAGCAAAGCAGTCCCAGCTCCACGTCCATCAATCCCTTCCTGTCACCGCAGGGCTGTGGAAAGAAACCCAGGCATATTTAACAGTTACAAGGTGGGGTATCCATGGGAGTGTATAGGTAGAACAGCCAGAGGAAAAACAATTCAAAATCAAAACTCAGGGAAAGTACTATAAGTGAGTGGAACAGCCTCAAGAGAAAGATTCAACGTGGTGCCCAAGGCTGGTTTATCCTGTAAGTATCAAAGCCATTACAAATGTTCACATGCGTTTACTTCACTCAAATGAAGAAACCCAGAGTACTAAATCTGTACGTAAGCCTCGATGCCTACGTAATGTCTGCCCTGTGCTGTAAAAAGCAGAAAAACCAAACTAAAGATTTTAGGAGGGTCAAATAAAGCAAATATTAATCCATTTCTTCTGCTTTTTCATTGTTCCATTTACTGGTTCTTAATTTAAGAATGCATCAGAGTCACGTGGAAAGCAGGCTAAAAATCTGTCTCTATCTTTTAAAGAAACCCTCTTTAAGAAACATAAAATAACGAAAGCTGAGGTCATTGTGACTCACTCCTGGAGTTCCTGAGTCTCTGGGAGGAAGGACATGTCTAACGTGTCCCAGCAGAGGTCGTGGGGTCGGGGTCAGGGTCAGCACTAGGGTTGGGGACACACTGCCTGCCACCCCCTCCTGGTGAAATTTGACTCCTAGTTCAGGGAGATGATACCATCACTCCTGAGCTCTGAGACCTGTACCTTGTACTCTCTGATCGCACCAGTGAATAAGCAGGATTTGGAGTTGGGAAAGGACAGACTTCCTCAGCCCCCTGGCCAGCTGTGGTCACCCAGCAGTGTGGCTGCTCCACACGCCATCCTGAGCACTAAGTTCTGTAAGGTCTCCACGCCAAGCCATCCCTGGGAGCCATCTCAGCGGAACCACCTCGCCCTCCAGAAGCCTATGCGTACCCAGCGCGGTCCCTTCCCAGGGCTTCGCAGGGCTCGGTTTCCAGGCAGGCGGGGATTTCGTTTGGCCTCCTTTACATGTGATTTTCTATGAGGGTCTGAGCTCAAGTGTGTTCCACGTTGTAAACAGCACAATCCTTTACTATCTTTGTCCAGACACATTCCCCAGCCCCAAGCATGCACACAAAATGAAATGCAAAACTTTCACAGCTCTGTGACAGACTTCCTGTTTACCTCCATTATCTGACTTTTGTTATCAAAATAACATGAATAATTGCCACAGTTCTCCACGCTAGCTGGGATGAAATAGCTGTGCACGGAACACTGTTTGCCGTGTTGGAAAGAGGTGATTTTAAGAGCCTGCACAAACTGTTACTTCTGTGCTTTGGGAGATAAAAACAGTGCAACGTGGCACATCATTTGCCATGGACAACTCGTTTTCTGTACAAACCTTAGGTATAAAATGAGATCTTAACCGTGCTGGCTTGTGAAAAATGTTGCTTGAGGCTTAGGCAAGGTTTATATTTTTATTTCCATATGGTGTTAAAATTGAATTCTCATTTAGAAAAGGTTTTCTACATGTTTTTTCTATCAAAATTTGATGGTTTGTTTGATACAAATGTCTATATTAAATGAATGCTAAAGACGGCTTCACCATCCTTGCCTTGCCTTGTGGAGAGATGATGGTTCGTCCTCCTGTGACTTGTTAAAACACATCCCCATGAGTGATGTAATCCCAAGTATTACTGGAGCTTGCTGAGAACTGCTGTTCGGGTTTCCTTTGACTGTTTTACTTACTCCTTTTTGCAGAGCTGAGGATGCAGCTCGGGGTCTTGCACATACTAGGCCAGAGCTCCACTGCCAAGCTCCACCCCAGCCTTGTGTTCAAATTTTGCTGCTTGATTTCTGATATGTAAGAGCTCACCCTCAAACAGTCCTCCTGCCGTGACCTAAAGATAACTGGCATCTCCGTTCTCTCTGTTTCCAGTAACATCTTCAAGGGGTCAGCCGTGTGCATGTACAGCATGAGCGACGTGAGGAGAGTGTTCCTAGGCCCCTACGCACACAGGGACGGCCCCAATTACCAGTGGGTGCCCTACCAGGGCAGGGTTCCCTACCCACGACCAGGAACCGTAAGTGCTTCACTGTCCACCACAGGAATGGTTGTATTTCTGCCGAAGGTTAAAAAGAGGAGCAAAGAGTGTAGCTCCAAATGAGCTTAAGTGCAGATCATGTGCAGCAAAGTTTCTGAGACTGTAGATGGAAGTGAGATTTAGGTTGCTGTGCAGGCACAGATTGCACATGAAAAATAGGTGTGCACCATTCAGCACCCATCCCCTTGAGAAGCCAGAGCTGAACACACAGCCTCATCCCTTTTCACTCCTAGGGGGATACAGGACAAATGGCCTGGTGTGGGCCTTCACACAGGATCCAGCCAGGCTTGGTCTCTCCTCCAAGGAAGCTTCAATATTGTACTTCAGGTTGGAGAAAAAATGACAAAAAGCCAACATTGTCATCCCATAAGCCTAGCGTAAACTCCTGAATGTCACTGAAGAAGAGACAGCAGGGCCCAGATACCCTAATGCTCCTGTCTCCCCTAACGGCCAACGTCTATGCCTCCAGCAAGTCCTGGCAAAGTTAAAAAATCTCAGAGTCAAGTCAGCTCTGACACCACCTTAACATAAGGGGCAAAGCAAAAAAAAAGACATTAATATGGTATACAAAACTAGGGAAATTGGCACCAACATAACACAACAGTCATGGACTAATCAGGGACCATCAGTGTTTTCTGTAAGGGAACTTCCTGGAGAGGAGGTCAGAGGATACTGACCATGTAGTGTAGTTGTTACTCTAATTCACTTTCATTCTTGTGCATTTTGATGAATTCCAGTAAGTTGTGTTTTGATTTATTTTATTAGGTGCAAAATATGTTTAATGTAATTATTTTCACTGTATTGCTTAATTTGCTTATAATTGAGAATTTTGCATTTCATAAATATTATTTCTCGGTGGTGAATTTGTAGCGAAAGTTAAGGAGGATCTTAGAATAGTAGGTGGCTGGGAGGGGTGTGTATGTGTACAAGTCAAAGGGTTTTATGAAAGTAAGGAAGATGTTTGCTTCCGTGCTAAACCATGATAAACTGGCTTTTCTTATGCCTAGACAGCTTTCTTTTGCTGTGGCTAGTCCATCCACGGGTGTTTAGAACATAAATCCATTCCTTGTAGACCCAAATCAACAAACATAGTGACACATCTTCTAGGTGATAGATACTGTGCTGTTTTCAACCAGAAAGATGGATTTCATTTTAATCTATGCATCTGCACAGTGTATTCAGAATTAATAACAGCAATCAGGCCAACTATGGAAAATGCTGCATTGCAGCTTCTGTTCTGAGTGAAAGTTTGTGCAATGTAGATATAGATACACCTGTAAACAAATGTAGATGCAGATCTCAGTAGCTAGCTGTAAAAAAGGATCTGAGACAACAGGGTGACAAACCAGCATTCAGTCCCTGACGTGCAGCCCTCACTGGCTCTTCGTAGATGGTTGTCACAGCATGCAAAATTAGATCATCAGGCAACGTTCCCCCAGCAGTAGAGATGGGCAGGAAGAACTGCCCCCTGGCAGAGCCGGAAATGGCCCTCGCCCCTGCATAACGTTCTGCTGGATGAGCCTACAAATCTCCAAGGGGACTGACTAGGAAGCATCTCTTCATCAGGGTTATGGAAATGGCATTAAGTGACCTTTAAGCACCATGTCGGGACTGCCACACGCTTTTAAGGAAAGGCTTGAAAGTTTTATTAGATACAAAATAAAAAGCTCATAAGGCAAAGGAGTAAGATAACCTTAAGAAAATCTAAAATCCATCAATCCTTTAGCTTAATTTGGAACCACACATCCCTAAGCATTTAATATTTTTTCATTTAGTCAATGAGAGCACAGTTTAAATGTTTTGAAGATATGCTTTTATTTTCTCCCACTCTTTAAAGGAATTTGATATTTCTATAACATTGCTAAATAATTATTTATTTTAAGCATCAAGTTCTTAGAACTTTTATTATGGCACTGTCTTATTGCATGCACATATGTTTACATTTACATAGTCTCATTTCAAAGCAAACGTATTTCATTTCTCATAAATTATTACTGATTTTTCAGGATAGTCCCAAAGACAGCTGATTTCTCATTCTAAGCTTCTTGTAAGATCAGAACCATCTCTTAATTATATTTCATCACGCAAACTCTTCTATCAAGTAGCAGAAATTACTAAAATCTAATACAAAGTTCCAGATTGGAGCCACAGTACTCCATGCTTGCTGTTACATAATTAAAGACAGTGAAATGACAGTCAGTAATATTTTAATTTTTCTCATTTCTATTGTATGATCTTTATGGGAAGTGCTTTTATCCAGATGCACATTAGGCCAGGGAATAAAGTGATCCCATGCGGACTTCAACAGCCACTACCTTGCTGGTGGTCGAGACATCCATTCTGACTGGCCAGGTTCTGTGCCACGAAGATTGCTGACCCTTTGGAATAATACCTCTCCTTAGTCCTAGACTTATTTGCTTATCAAACTCATGGATGTTCCCTTTCAGGTTATGTTATAGTGAATCAATGAAGAATCATTTAGATTGCCTTTTAGCTTGGAAAGAACATTTATATTTTAATATGAAGCTATCATAAAGAAAAGTGAACATATTCAAAATTATTCTGTCCTTTGGGGCCAGGGATTTAGCTCAGTGGCATAAGCGCCTGCCTGGCCAGCATGAGGTCATGAGTTCGATCCCCATTACCAAAAAAGGAAAAAGAAAAACTTCTTCTGTCCCTAATCTATGATTGCTTGCATTGGGTAGTAGTGTGTTCCACTCACTGAGTCAGATCTCTGTCACATGGAGCACCCTGTAAAGTGTCAGGCTTCTGTACAACAAACATGTCCAAGCTGTGTCCAGTGCTTAATAAGAAATGGTTACGTAATGAAATCCCTCTGAGAAAAACAACTAGAAAACATGCTACTGAAGATACTCAGTAATTTAATTAGAGAATCACTAATGTTTAATGATTAAACATTGTTTAATCTATCAGTTTAAAACGTCACTTTAAACATAAGGCAGAGCTGAGTGTGGTGGCACATGCCTATAATCCTAGTCCTCAGGAGGCTGAGGCAGGAGGATCATTGTGATTTCAAGGTCAGCTTGGGATACAAAGCGAGTTCAAGACCAGCCTGAGCTGCATGGTGAGACCCTGTCTCAAAAAGACAATAAATACATAAATAAACAAATCAGCACGCAGGCACAGGGCAGGTGCAGCTATCCAGATGCAGAGCTGCACATTGCTGTGTAACTTACAATCCTGTTTGTTAGGCCTTCGTTAAAAGGCACTCTGCTCGCTCTCCTGACCTCACAGTGTCCCAGTAAGACGTTTGGCGGGTTCGACTCCACCAAGGACCTTCCTGATGATGTCATAACCTTTGCAAGAAGCCACCCGGTCATGTACAACCCGGTGTTCCCCGTAAACAACCGCCCAATAATGATCAAGACAGACGTGAATTACCAGTTCACGCAAATCGTTGTGGACCGAGTAGATGCAGAAGATGGCCAGTACGACGTCATGTTTATCGGAACAGGTACGTGTTTTCAATTTAAGCTGCACATTTTCATTAAGAACACTGCCACATTGGTTCAGTGGTTCACACTGGTTAAGAACCAGTCAGGTTTATAGCCACTTTCCAAATATAGCTCACCTCTAGGAAATTACTAAAGAAAAACCTGAACAAAACGTGCTGTCTCTTTAGACAAATTGAGGTATATTATTTTGCAGTAAAATTTTTCCCTTTCAATGAAAAACTGATAAATATAATCCAGTAAGACTATAATCATATAAGCAATCAGTGTTAATAACTGAGTCATAACTGGGTTTGGGCAATGGATTTTCAGAAAGATATCACTCAAGCTGTGTTTGAAATTCACAGGACATTCAATAGTGTTTTCAGAATATATTAACATGAAATTATCTGAGCTTTAAATTATAACATGATGAAAAGATTTTGACGAATAAGTGATACCATCAAAATTCATTCATTGCTTCTGATCTATATTAAGGGAAAAAAGATATCAGAAAAATGACAAACTGGTTTAACAAATCATCAGATACATTTCCATAGCAATTTCAAAAGATCTTTTTACTAATTTCATTATTAGAACACATTTTTGAAGGTATATTTTCAGAATTAATTCCCTCACCATGGTTATTATGACATGTTATTTTATTTCCCCCCACTCATTTGAGTGGTAATGGCGTTTGTGAAGAAAGGACTTGTTACAAATCTGAAACTTGCTACTTAGGGTCAGATTCCAAGGTAATAAATTCCCAGTCTCCATTAACATTGTTAACTGACATAAATCACTGGCCAACACAGTGAGTGCTCCACCGAAACCTTGTGTAATAACATTTATTTTCCCTTGGTGAGAAGCACAAAAAAATTACATTAACTTCAGGCAGACGGCAAGCGGGCAGTACGTGAAGGGCTTAAGTTCTTACAGTGAGGCTGTGGAACGCTTTGGCTCTCATGTGCAGTGGTGCTGGGGTCTGCACAATACCTTGACATTCGATTTTTATGGGTGAGAAGTTTACTCTATCAAATGAAAGACTCCCGGTGAAGCTCGGGGTCCCCCAGACATCAGTGAACAGCAAGCACCAACTTCAGGTTATGAGTGTCTTTAGAAAATACAAAGCTGTACGAGTTCCCCCGGAGATGCGAGTGTGTGTCTCAGTGTCGGGCGGTTGTTGGACTCTGCAGGGCGAGCTCCGCTTTTCAGCAACGCCGCTCTGGCCTTTGTCTTCACCTCTGCCTTCCACCTTTTGAGAAGCAGCTCACTCGCTCTTAGAGCAGCAAAGCTTGCTTCCGGGTATTTGAGCAAAGAAACCCAATCATGAGCCTTTAATCCCTCTCGGACACAAATCGTCCTCCAAGGCACCAGTTTCGTGAGAATGCCGAAAGTCTGGTGACGTCCCTGGCTCTAGGTCAGTACAGACCAGGGTCATCTGTCAGCAGGGTAAATTGATTACAGTAATTTTATCTTTTAACTAAGTTGCCCATCGTAGTGTATTGATCCTAGTTGAGTAATCTGATTCAATTTGTGTGAAATTGTTTGAAATACTACTCTGTAAAACTTGATCTAGAACACAGATAAAGCTGTATTTGGGGACTGGAGACCCGATGAAAGGCCCTGGGTAGTTTAACCTAATTTCCCTTTAATCTTCAGTGTTATGAGCAGTCTGGGGTTCTGTAAACATAGAAGGATCCTCTTAAAAGAGGGCTTTGCTCTAACTTTACAGGGATGAACTAGCAGCCTTCTCCAGGGTGCGCAGCACGGCGTGTGGCTCCTTTGGAAATAGTTACATCAGCACACTGACTACTTTGCTGGTGTAACTGGCTCCTCACTGGCAAGGTTTTCCTCATGAATAGCCCATTAAAAATCGGTCAAAATGAACTACTTGGAGGTGGAAAGAACTGGTGGAGTTGGGTCAGAACAGGAATGCGGAAGGGTAAAAATGTTCAACCTGAGGAGACCTCTCCATACCTGAAATATTAGTGGATTAATATCCTAACCCAACCTCAGGAAAACCAACAGCTCCTGAAAATGAGGAAAAAAATCAAAATCTCAACAAAATGTATTCACCTCGTTTACAGTTTGCGCTTCTGAGTTTTAAATTTCTTCCATGCTTTATGATTAATGACCTGAAGTGTGCATCACTGAGAAACTACTGTACTAGGTGGCCCTCCGTGCTTGTTTTGTGGACTTGCAGTGCTGTCCTTTGTAGCTTCCTGTGCTGGGGTCTTGGGTGACAGCAGCAGCTGGACTCTGAGGGCTGACTGCCTCTGCCCAGGGCTGACCACCTTCTGCCTGGCCATGGTCTTTGCATCTCCTGCCCAGGCTCCCATTCCAGCAACAGTGGAGAAATCCCCATGTCAGTTTAGCGTTACTCCTAGTTGTTGGGTTTGCTTTTCTTTTCCTGAGACACTTGATGGTTAGTGGGATTTTTAAAGATACATATAGCATCATCCAACCTAGCCGATTTCTGTAGTGGTTACTGTGTTTCTTAAATTATAGAGTTTTAGTTAAAACCCTCATCAAAGTCTATTTCTAAGTTTTCATTTTTTGTATTCCACGGCAATCATTACCTAGTTTGTAAGTTGCAAGATATGCATTTGAATGTGTATGGTTTACTAGTACTTAGGCAAAAAGCAAAACAAAACAAACAAACAAACAAACAAAAAAAAACAGTGACTAGAAAGAAGCTTAAGGACACAGTGCGCTTTCTGAGCAAACCCCCGTCCCCCACCCACCCGGACCGGTCAGATCTGCTGTAACCCGGTCTCCTCCCATTCTTTCTCCCAAAGACGCTGGGACTGTGCTCAAGGTCGTCTCTATCCCCAAGGAGACCTGGCATGACTTAGAAGAAGTCCTCCTGGAAGAGATGACAGTTTTTCGGGTGAGTGCTGCTTCATTTCAAGTGTCAACAGGTTTGGTCGCGGCTGTCCCTGGGGAGCCGCCTGCCCTGGTAGGGACACACAGTCTGGCGTGGCCTGCTAATTAGCTTGTCAGTGCAAAAGTCAGACGCCAGTCAAAATAAACCTTGGAACTTTCAGTGCCAGTTAAATCTAAGGAGGGAAGGAAATCTATGCCTGGCTCGCATTTTGTTTTCTCAATGATAAAATATATGATTTACATTTTATATTATTTACATAAGTCACCTCTGGGAACAAGCTCCTCCCCCCATCGTCCCTTCTCTGTGCTGTCCACTGCTGGGCAAGTGTGCGGCGTCCACACAGCGGTGAAGGGTCCCACACTCAGCGTGGCAGAGTGTGAAGGTGGTTCAAACACCGTTTAGGGTATTCATGAATGTTTGTTGCATTTTCTTAAGGAAATCATTTGTTAGCAACAGCTGAGCTTTTGTATTTCCAGGAGCAACTTTGTTAGAGATTCCTGGTCTGCAGGCTGAGGAAGCATCAGCTGCACGTCCTCTCCCCCTGGGTCACCGATGGGCAGCAGGGGTTTGGCCATGTCAGTGGCCAACAGGGGTGCATGAGGGGAGTGGGTGAAAGGAGAGCGGAGACTGCTGCGTGGCCCCAGGCGATGTGTCCTGCTCCCGTGGGAAGCCCACTGAGGGAGCAGTTTGAGCTGAAGCCTGTTCTGACGTGATTTATTGATCAGACGTGACTGGGAAGCAGATTCCGATACAAGGCCTATTTAAATATTTTGATAAGAGAATGGTGTAAACACATTTTCAGACGTTTGAGAAATGGAAAAAACAGGTGGACAGAAAGCTGGGAAATATTGGCTGCAGTCTCACAACCCCAAATGACCTCATTTAGCCTCTGGTGGCTCGGAGGGCTGCATTAAAATGTTTGGTTGATTTGATGCTTAACGGCGAACAGAGTCAGCCCAGGACTCCTCCTAGCCCTGCATTCCTGTGCCAGCTCATGCCACCACAACACCTGCTTGCTAACTAAAGTACAATTTCCAGTAGACATGTCCACTAATCTGTGAGTTCAGTTTTCAAAATAACAAAAGCATCATAATTCTGATGTTAAAGTCAAATGCTTTGGCCTTTTGTTAATACTGGAAATAGAGGGCTGGTTAATCTTTGTCACTTATTATGACCCGTAAGCTACCTCAGTGAACAAAGGCCTGGGTACTTTAGCCTACCAGTTTTAAAAATGCAATAACCCAAATGAACTGTTACCTACTGTAGAATTCACTGAGAACTAGCAAACAAATTATGGGCATTGAGGGGTGGATTTATAAATCGCTACCTTACGCTCTTTGTCAAATCTTCAAAGCCTAGAATACATTTTCAGCCACATTCTTTAAATGAATGAGTGAAATAATATTAAACCAAAAATGAAATATGAGAAATGAAAGTGTTTAAAAACCTTCCTCACCGAGACTGTGCTTACAGTGAGGAAAGGAAGGTGGAGCAGACATAGCAGCATGTTATCTGTTGATCTGGCCCCACCCTATTTCCTAATAGGAATGTTAATCAAATACATACAGAGAGACAGAGAGAGAGAGAGAGACAGAGAGAGAGAGAGACAGAGAGAGAGACAGAGAGAGACAGAGAGAGAGACAGAGAGAGAGACAGAGAGAGAGACAGAGAGAGAGAGAGACATTCACATTTCCCCCATGGTTGCAAACAACTCACAGGAGACACTAAAATAGGCTACCTCAGGAATGTGTTATTTCCTGACTCTGCTTGTGTTGGTCCTGGTTCTTTTGCATAATTCCCTCCAGTTGTCATGCATTCTTAAAATAGGGTTCGTTTATTAATTTATCAGCAAAGAAATATGCACCCATGTCTCCTACAGTCCTGGTCCCGTTCCAAGTTCTGGTGGCACAGAAATGAGCACTGTACACGTGGCCTGAACCGGTGAGGGATGCGAGGCTCTTATCTGTTGTAGCTCATAGTTTCAAGAACTTTGTTGTATTTTCGTACAATTAATTGTTTCGAATTTTCTGAAGTCACATCATGACCTTCAATTAGATGTTTTCCTCTATCCTTTAATTCCTTTCTTTTACGAATTTTTTCTGGGATATTAATAAAGTTTCTATTTCAAACAATTTTAATTTAAGCTAGACTGTTAAAATGATCTATAATAAAATCATGAGACATTGGGAGCCCATCATTTTGCAAGGTATTTAATATTTATTATTCTTTCTTAATCTTCCATGTACTTTAACAAGTACACAGCCCACTGATAGCTGTGATGACTGTTAGATGACACTTGTGTGACATTGAAGTTATCCTCTAAACAATTCTCATTCTGTAACAATTACCTGTAAACAACACTGTGCTGGTATGAAATGATTGTTTAGCAGCCTGCAACTTTATAAAACCAAGTTTTCTGCAAGCGGGAACACATCTCCTTCTACTGAAACTCTCTACGCTTAGCTCCATATCCTTTGCTAGGCACATTGTGGGCTTTATTTCTTTGTCACTCAAATAGACAAAACATATTTGGGCAGAGTTTAGAGAAATATTTACTTTCGACATTCTCTTCTATCAGGCAGAGTTCATACATATATTATGGTCTAGCAATTGGAATATTTCACTGTCAAACTTTGTTTAATTTTTGCAGTAGAGAAAAAAAAAACACAACACATTAAAGTGATAGTCAAATACAGTGAGATGGCAGAAAGAACAGAGAAATGTCTCAGCGTCTGTTTCAGTTAGGCCCGTGCCATTCCGTGTAGAGTAAAAATAAAATCAGAATCAGCAAAGGGTCAGCCTGAGCACTGTCACAGCTGGACAAGGTAAATAGACAAGGTAGAGACCCAGGGTCATTTTGTGCCTGATATTCTTGGGTTTAAACACACACGCACGCGCACACACACACACACACACACACACACGTGCACATTTAAACTAGCCATTCAGAAAATTTCTACACATGATTGTCTCCAAAAGCTCCATCCCTGCCAGGCTGCATAGCCCAACCTTATATAAGTTCCTGGGTGAAATCCAGTGCCACCGTGCCCATGCCATCTTGAGACTGGTTTTGAGAAAACATGCCAGTTAATCACAGAATGCTCCATCAAATTTCAGCTACATGCAAATTGTCATGCTAGATGATGGGAAAGCCTAATTAGTCTCACAAGAAAAATATTTATTGGTAATAAAAAAAATGTCCATTACACATCTTGGTCCTTGTTTATACTTTCAGCTTCTGATACCAGAGAAACAATGCAGTGTTTACACATATATGTCCTGTTTGCTTCACTTCAGAGTATGGTCTCAGGGTGTGTCCATTTAGTTAGACATGTCTCAAGTTTATCCTTCTTTATGGTTGACTATTATTCCATTGTTTAAAAAAAACACATCTTCTTTATCCATTCATTGGTTGATGGGCGCTGGGGTTGTTTCTAAGATTTAGCTATTATAAACTATGGGTGTGCATATATCATTGTGGTTTGACGTTTTGAATTCTTTTGGGAAGATACCAAGAAGAACTTCTAGTCCTAGCTTTTTGAGAAATCCCCACACTGACTTCCATAGTGGTTGCACAGTCTACACTCCCATAACAGTAGAGAAGGACTCCTTTTCCTAGATAATCCTGCCAGCATTATTTGTTACTGAATGTTTTTTGGTGATGGCAGCCATTCTTTCTGGAGTGAGATGGAATCTCATTGTGGTTTTAATTTGCATGTCTCAAATGACCAGTGATGCTCCACAGTTTTTCATATATTTATTTGCAATTTGTACTTCCTCATCTGGGAGGTGTCTGTTCATTGTAGGTGCCCACTTTATAACTGAATCTTTAAAGTTTGGGGTGTAATTTTTTTTTAGTTTTTTACATATTCTAATTTTTTGGCAAATTTTTTCCCACTCTATGGACTATCTCTTTATTTTGTTGGTTATTTCTTTTGCTGTAAAAATGCTTTTTAATGAGTTGAGATTCCACTCGTTGATTCTTTGTAATATTTCCTGAGTGATAAGGGTTTTGTTCATAAAGATGTTTTCTACATTTATGTCTTCAAGTGTTCTACCTATTGTGGAACACAAATAAAATGTCCAAAGGAGAAAGGGAATTAGTGGTAGAGGAGGGGAAAAGGAAGGAAGGGAAAAAAGAAAAGAAATTAAAAATGGAAACAAAGCTTTTGTAAATGAAGGAAGACAAGGGTAGAAGGGAGAGACGGGGAGTTCGGAAAAAAAGGAAAATAAAGATGCATCATGTACAGGTACAACTTCCTTACGATGAATGTGATCATTATATCTTAAAAAACAGTGAAGTTAATTAATTTAAAATTTCTCATTATACAGTAAAGTTGTTATTAATGGGTGATAAGAGGCAAAATAAAATTGACCCTGGACAGGACTCACTAAATGACTAATTTGCCATTAAATATTCAGAATACCATTAAAGCGTTTAAGGCACTGCCTGATTCTAAATGAGATTTGCAGTCATAAATGTGAACCTCCATCCCGTTTACGGTGAGGTTTGAAGAAGCTGGTGAAAGTCCACGGAGCCCGGCGTCCTCTGGGATCGACGACTGAGATTCCAACACCTCCTCACGGCTCTCTTGGAATCGGGCTTGCTAGTGAATGTCCACTGGTCATTCGCATGAAAATCTGGTGTACAGTGCTTGAAATCTCCTTGTCTGGATACTGTTTTTCAAATATTTAGAAGATGCAGGAGGCAGACATACACTGTCCTGGCCCAGGCGGGTTCTGGTTCTGAGACAAAACCACCCCACTCCGCTCCACATGGACTCCAGGACCAAGACCCTTATTTGTAGTCCTGTTGGCCGTGAAGACAGAGGACCACAGGGCACTCACGTCAGTGATGCATGCATCTCAAGCCCAGTTTAGGCAGTATCCCATGAGCAGCAGTGCAAACAAGTGACAGTTTGATTTCTGTTCGGATGTGAAGCACAGGTGATGCTTCCAAAACCTCGCCCGTGCTGGCGCCCTCAAGGAGCGCCCGCCTGCCTGCCCGCATCCTGAGAGCCTCGGCAGAGTCTCCTGGGAGCAGCAGACCGAGCAGCTCTGCAAGTGCAAAAGCAAAAGTTTAATAAGGCCCGGATTAAAATATCCGGCAAAGCACATTAAATTAGAGTCATTGAAGATCTTGAAAGGATGCTGTTTTTAATTTCATTTTACATGAACACCAATTGAATTTGCAATTGAAACCAGTTTCATAAAAATGCTGATGAAGCTACATCTGTTTTAAATGGAAGTCATATTCCCCACCAGCAATTTCTCTGAAGAAAATCTAGCTTATTTAGGAGGATGGCACCTTAACGTTGCCTATTAAAATTCAACTGCAGACAATACATGGCCGTACTCTTCCGAAGTGGAATTAATTTTATGGTCTAAATAATAAATAAATTTGTATTAAAGAGATTCCAGGACTTTAAGAATTTTGCAATCTTAATGTGACGCCACAGAGCCGGATGCATGTTAGGAGTTTTTTCATGTTTTATAATTTGTGTATGGAATACTTTTATTTGCATTTGCCTTATCCATATTTTTGAGTTGGCAAGGAACATAAAATAAATGAATATTGATCAGTTTCATTTCTAAAAAGAACTTAGACACAGCTAATTTTCACTTAAATTACACAAGCTAATAGATTTGCTCTCAGAAGTGTTTTCCTTGCACCTTGACTGAAATGGCATGAAAACCTGCATGAAGTGAGCTGCTTCTGTAAGCCTGGAGCTGTTTTTCACGTGGCCTTTTTGCAATGGAAGAAATTACCGGAGTTTCCAAAGGTCTAAGTGTTTCTTTGGTGAATTTACCGCAGTATTGTACAAGCTTATTTTCAGCTTTGTCTTTCAAAGCTGAGTATCTGTGATTAATCATCCCCTTTGCTTTTCTGATTCAATGCTACTAAATGCTAAAGACCGTACATATCCCAGCAAAGACAACATTTGGTGACATTACTTTCATGGTAGTTGCCTTTATGATGGGTAATACCTATGCGAAGTTGTTTATTTAATAATTAGCATCAGTCGTTTAGACTGGAAGACTGGGAAGCTCCTGAAGGTCTCTATCTTGTTGCACTAACTGGTACCCATTCTACATCATTTGTCTCACTGTTTCACAGGCAGGTTGTGCTGAATTTGCTAAGGAAACCTTGCTCTCAGGTCTGCCTTCAGGGATCAGGTGCAGACTTGCTTCTGGCACTGAGGGCAGGTCATGAGCCGAGCGGAGGGGAGAGCCTCAGGAGGAGAAAGCGGTATCCAGGAAAGGGTGGAGAGGAGCGGGCAGTGGCAGACAGACCCGGAGGCCTGGCCGCGGGTGGGAGCCGGAAGGGAGGCTCACGGGAGTCAGCGAAGAATTCCAGGCATGAGGGCCCGAAGAGCAGAGCAGTCAAGAAGCAGTGAAAGCATCACCTAAAACACGGAGCTCCGATCCTGACAGTTCAGCCAGAAAAGCAGCCACGAGCAGCCAGGCTTTGTCAGCGATATCTGCTTCCAAGGACAGCAGACGCCCTCTGTGCAGGACGAGCGCCACTCAGGGGTGCAGCACATGAGGAGGCACAAGCAGTGGCCTCAGCGGGCTCAGGTTGCAACTGCAGGAAGCCTACTAAGTGCAAGACAAGGAAAGACACTGCAGGAGATAAAGCAGAAGGAACGGAGGACAGCGGAGAAAGTTTGAAGAAATGGGAGAGGGGAAAATCATTCGTCTGTTCAGTTAATAAGAATTCACCGGTAACCCATAAATATTCTGCCTAATTGCCTCTGCCAGGGGCCTGCAGTGGACTGAACAGCCCAAATCCCAGGCTCAAGCTGAGGTGGGCAGTTGGTAATCCCGAGAGACAGAGCTGTTGTCCCTCTCCGTGTCTTACTGGGGTGCCCCTGGCTCCTCCTGCTGTCTTCTCTTTCTGCTCCCGGGCCTCTCTGACAAGACACCCAACGCACAGGACAGCTACCCAGGGAAGAGGTGATTTAATACCTCGCACAGTGGAATGACAGTCCTTCTGATGCAAACATCTACGCCCAGTCTGGAAAGTCATCCTCTGTTGGACTGTCTTCAGTGGCAGTTTGCGTAACGCACTAAGTCAGTTCCCGTCTTCCTGTCGGTCCCCAGTTTTCCACTCTGATCGCATTTCAGACTCTACTTTGAGGTGGACTAAGGAAAATGATAGGACTTAGATAAATTTTAGGTAGATAGACATTAGTGACGTGCACTAGAGAGAGACTGGGGTGTGTGTGTGTGTGTGTGTGTGTGTGTGTGTGTGTGTGTAAGAGGAGAGAGGAAGAGAAAAAGACGGTATGCAGGGGAGAGAAATTTGAAAGCTGCTCTGCACTAAGCACACTGGCAAAGTGTTTCGCAAACATTAACTCATTATTCTCCTCCACCACCCAGGGAGGGAAGCCCCATCGCTTCCGCCTTCCATGGTGGGTGACAGCGGGTCACCCAAGCCCGGCCAAGTGCCACCCTATCAGGCAGGAGTCACCACTGCAGCCCACTGGTTACCGCTTGACACTCTCTTTATTGTTAGTTTCAGACACCTATCAGGTGACCTTTCCGCCTAAGTCTCTTTCTCGTCAGTGTCATCTGAAATCCAAGAACCCTTCTTACTGGTGTCATGTCGGCTGAGAGAGGATGGCGGGGTGCTCTGGGGGACTGGGTCTGGAGACCGACACCGGGCTGATCCACTGGACCACAGAAGTTAGGTCACCACTGTAAACAGCGCATTCTTATTAACTCTCCTCTGCCTGGACCGGGTCACCCCTCACTCGCTGAAGAAGCTCTGGAATCCTCTCCTGTGAGTGTGTCCTCCAGACGTGATCAGGAGTGCAGGCACACTGCAGGCAGGTGCTGTCCAGCAGAAGGCAGGCTCGTGGCACCTTGTTCCCCGGACCTGGCATCATGAGACTTCTGGATCTTCTCCAAAATCAAAATGACTCTGAAAGGGAATATCTTGAGTGGATTCAGGACATCAAGGCAGCACGACAGTGCGAACAAAGACACTCATGAAAGAGGACACCACGGCCGCTTCAGACAGTGAGGAGAACAGCAGGATGATGGTGTTTGCAGCAGGGGTGGTGGGTGGGAGCTTGAGGAGGATTCATAGCAATGTGCCTTTTACTGTAATTAACTTTTTTAATTTAAGCAGTCACCAGATTTTTCAATCATGCTGAAGCTAGTAGGTTCCATGATATAGCTTTTAGTGGCCTACACCTATCGAGGAGGAGGAGATACTGATGGAGGCTCTACCCTTTCATAATGTGCTCAGGTTTGAACACTAACCGAATTCCTTGGTCTGGTTACCCCTGGATGGCCAAGTATGGTAGCAAGGGCGTGGCTGAGGTTGTACTGTTGGGCAAAGATCTAAGGTATTGACAGAGTAAACAGTCATTGTGATGGCGGTACGGTCAGCCCAGGTGAGTTCCTGCCATCCTTGACAGCTGGAATCAGGCCAGGGGCTGACAAAACAGGGACATTCGTCCAAACCACAGAATGACCCAGGACCCCCGTCCCGCCCAACATGAGTGATCGCCTCACCTGTACTAGTCACAGTGTGAGCCCAGCTCTGTCCTCCCCACCTTCCAAAGAGCACGAGTCACAGGCGGACACTGCCTTCCAGACAGCATCCGGGGTAGAGAACCCCTTCTCCACCGGCTGGGGCCAGCCCAGGACAGCTGGCTCCCAGCCCCGCTTTCCGAGTGGTCCCTCAGTGAGCCCTGCTCGGCCAGCTGCCCATGAGGCCCTCAAGGACGACAGGCTGAGGACCACAAGCTCCCCATGTCCACTCCACGCAGGTGACGGACGCTGACCGGGCCAGTTTCCTCCGTGCGCCTTACTTCCCGACCCTATTGCTACAGAGTTTTCTCTGCAATCTTGAATCACGGTTGCCTTAGTTAATTAACCCAGTGGTGACTTCTCACTGATGAAGCTCTTCCTGTTTCCTCTTTAGGAACCTACGGCTATTTCTGCGATGGAGCTCTCCACCAAGCAGGTACTTACTGTGTCCTGTGTTACTTCAGCATGGCTTTGTTAACTCCGTGTCTCACATGTTCTAGTTCTGCTAACAGCGGAACTAGAAAAGAAGCCACAAGAGAAGAAGCACCGTTCATAAATTAAATTTAAAGACGAAAGGAATAGATTTACAAACGAAAATAGTTTTCCTTTCCCTTATGTTTCTGGTAAATGTCATCTGCGTCTTAAAAACATTTTCCTGAGTCATTATTTAAATTCACATCATTCCTTTTGCAGACATTGAAATACAATTTACTTAATATTCAATAGTTATTTCCATGCTTTGTGAATTATGTTTATTTGCACTTCAAAACTAGCATTGGTGGCTATTTGAGAATAAATGTACAATTTAATTTTACTTTGAATATGTAAACAAAATATACTTACAGGCTAATAAAATTAAGCAGTTGGTATATATGGTTGGAGAATCTTGACATAAAAGTTAATTTTACATTTTCAAAAGTACTACATGCTAGAAAAAACAGGATTGGCTTTAAATTTGGCTAAACATAAAAGGGAAATAGAAAAATAATCTTTCCTCAATGATAAATTCGAAGACTCCGTAATTCAGAGATTAAAAACAGAACTTTAAGTTCCCTTCCATACCTGTCGAAGGATGTTCTGTGGAGATGTTGTTTAAAACTGATGACTTCAATCAAGTACTGATCGGTGTGCACAACACGTGTGCAAAATCTGAATTCCTAAGAAATTCCTTTTCTCTTTAAAAGTTACCTAGTCTTCAACTCAGTATGTGAAGGGTAACTTAAAAAGAAGTTTGGATTCTCAGTTGGAATTAATTATCAGTTTAAAGGAAAAACCCAGAGGGAGGCAGAGCACCTTTCACTAACATGCAGACTTCGAAATGCGAGATGGCTCAGCGGGTCTGACTCCTAAGCTAACTGCCTCGCGTGGCTTCTCTCTGACTCTGCACTTCACCCCCGAAGGAAACGCTGAGTGGCTCACCAGTGAAACTCAGCTGCACCCTTCCACACAGGCGAATCAAAATAGATCGCTAATCCCGAGGCGCTCAGGGCAGCGCGGCATGCTGAGCCCGACCCTGTAGGGTCACTCTATACTTCACGCCTGTGTGCTCACCTGTTGTTGCTATCTAAAAATTGTCACATGTCGGCAAGGAAATCCGGGGATTTCCAGGATGTAAGCTAGACTGGGATACTCTTTCCCGTAATGATTTTTTAGATTATGTATTTATTCTCGGCTAGGTTTCCCAGCCAAGTCTAATTACATTACCTCCACATGTAGGTGGGTAAAACATGCCCTTTTTGCTTTAAAATGTCTAAAGCAACCTAAAAGATTCTCTGCAAATTCAAAATTTCACCACGACCAAACAAATGCAGTTAATGCATTGAAAATATTATGGCAGAATAAGACGTCCCTCGTGTTGAAGTTCCATGTCCGTTTCTGGGAGACGTTAGATTTTCCTCAGACAGGACACGATGGCATTCATGCTTTTAGGCACCCGTGAGGGAGGCAGTGTTTTGAAGGGAGCAAGTGATGCTGCAAGCGATTTTCTGGGTCATGGACACAAGCCCTTCTGCAGCCCAGGAGGGCAGGAGCACAGAGAAAAGGCTGGTGGCACCATTAATCTGGGCAAAAACACTCTTGGTGCTGACTGATTATGCACAGAGGTGCCTGCCTCAGTCCCCCTGGGCAGTATTATTATCTTTTGTACCTGATTAACCATCCCGCAGAATTATAGGAAAATCAAAGCAGCACTGAGCTGGGTTTAATTTTTGACATCTTTAGATTTTCATTACAATAATTTCAGTTGTCGGTTTTTTTGGTTTTTGCTCTTCCTGTGCATCGTTTCTGTTTTTCTCCTAGAGAACTGTGACACATCTCTTCCCTCTGTCTTGTGCCATCATCTCTAAGCATGAATTCTGCATATGATTCTTAAAAGTCAATGCCCAACGCAGAGAGCCCTGTGCGTGTCAGTCACTGGTCTACAGCTCTTAAAGTAGCTGAGACTGTGGGACACAGGGTTGGCATCTCCGTACCGCAACTGCCGGCCACCCTGCCAGATGGCTGCTAGAACTTTCTGTGACCTGCATTCCTGTTTAAGCAGTGTGGATTCATTTCATTTTGCTTCACTGAATTGGCTTCATTTGATATAATCTAAATTCATTTTTGCACAAGGAAGGAGGCTAATAGAGACAAACTAAAAGGTGGAAAATTAATATTTTGCTCTTCCTCCAAGGCATTTAACCACCACTTTTTCATCTTTCCTGGTTAATAGCATCATTCAATCTAATACTAAAGATGAAAACACGAACAAAGAGGAATATGCTGTACAGTGGAGCATCCAGTAAAATACACTGTAATTTCATTTTTTCTGTTTAGCGGACTAGCAAGCTCGTCTGGGTAAATGCTTCCACATGGCTTAGTTTCAGCATAACTGCTTCCCTCTTATTTTTCTTTTTTGTAGTAAATTATAAGCCTGTTATTTGGCTTTAAGCACTGAACTACTTTTTACATAAACACCCCTTTAAACTTTAATAATTTCTTAGAATCTGACAGATACTTCGATCTCCATTCAGCTTATTTGCTTATTTATAGAAGGCATTCGTGAGTGAAAGTCTTTGGAAAAGCAATGTTAATTATTAATCATTTCTAAATATCAGGTAATTGGTAGTATTAAAAGAGAATTCCATTGTTTAGAGTGCAACTTGCCTGAAACTTATTTTTCTTGCACAGCATACTGGAGGAATTAAAGTTCCATTTTGAAGTCTTATATCTGTGTATTGTTACATGTTTCAGTGTTTGTATAATCTTTATTTAAGACACTACAATTAATCCTCTAGTGCAAAAAGTTATGATAAAATTATAGTACATGTTAGATATATCACAAAAACTTTTTTATCTCATTTTATGTTTACATAATTTTGTGGATTCCATGTTGCATTGGCTTGACTTTGCAAATTTTGAAAGTTGTACAGAAATAAATCCTGAGGTCATAGCTTCCGCAGTTTTTTCTTTTTTTCTTTCTGCAGTTTTCCGTATCATGCTTCCCTCGGCATGTTAGTCACTGAGACAAGATACCTGATAGCACAATCTGAAAGAGGAGAGGTTTAATTCATTCCTACACTTGTTTTTTTGAGACAAAGTCTCACTAGGCAGTTCAAGCTAACTTGGCACTTGCAGAATCCTCCTGTCTCAGCCACCCACGTGCTGGGATGACAGGTGTGTGCCACAGTGTCTGTCCAAAGAGGATCAGTTTAGTTTAAGGTGTCAGCTGGTTCAGTTCACAGTTAGCTTCAGGGCAGGAGCATCATGGGGAAAGGGTTTGAGGGAGGAAAACCGCTTAGCTCATGGCAACTTGGGGGACAGAACAGGGAGAGTGGCAGAGAGGAAGGGATTGGGGCCAGAGGCAGTCCCCAGGGTCACACCATTCGGACACACAGAAGTGTGCTTTAGTAGTGCACTCTCCCAGGAGGCTTCCAAAGCCAACCAAGCCGCCTCTTCACCAAACAGTGACACCACATTCACTCACCCCAATTTCTTGGAGAACAGTGATATTGATTTTTTACCCGGATGCTTACTTTTAAAATTTGCAGAACGTGCTGATCTTGTGCACAAGGAAATGAATTCTTATGAAAATTATGTGATACCTCCAATTGCAGAGTTTACACAGCTGCCATGCAGAATGCAGAGTCCAGGTGCCACAGTGCCCGATCTGGGGCTCCCCCTTTACCCTCTCAGGGGAGCCTGGCCCGGCCCAGGCAGGCGCAGACACCCAGGTGCCAGCTCACTTTGAACAGTCACTTCCTGCCCACAGCACAGGGCATTGGAGACGGTGTCTCAGATTGAAATGATGTAAAAAAAACTTGACAAGAAGGCGTGGACGCTGTGGCTGCTCAGTCTCTGCTTGTCTCTTTTTTGCTAACTTCTCTTTGCCTTACACTTAACAGAAACACCTGCTTCAGTCGAATGCTAAATTTGCTCTTGTTCCATTTCAAACTTGGTGTTCTGGTGAACCTTGGAAGAAACTGTTGAAAATGGGTTTATTTTTTGTCTTCTATCACTATATTCCTGATAAGTGTGAATAAGTGAACTTTTATTTGGGAATGAGAGATTTCAAAGTCCAGACAGTTTGCCTCACAACACCATGCTCTTCCCACAGCAACAGCTCTACGTGGGCTCGGCCAGCGGGGTGGCCCAGCTGCCTCTGCACCGCTGTGACATCTACGGCAAGGCCTGTGCCGAGTGCTGCCTGGCCAGGGACCCCTACTGCGCCTGGGATGGGGCCTCCTGCTCCCGCTACTTCCCCACGGCCAAGAGGTAGGAGCGCGGGCAGGACAGGCTGGGGGTGCCACGCTGCCCGGGGGCAGGCTCCCCACGCAGCCTCCGCCTTCCCTGACCGTTGTAAAAGGGGTCATGTGGCGGCGGGGTGGGCACTTTCTTCCTTCTTTCTTTTTTTCTTTCCCCTTCCTTAAAAGTGCTCAAAATAACCAGAATCCTGCACAGGAGGACAGCAGAGTCCACATCAGCGACAGGACAGGGCAGCGTCAGGAAAGGGCTGATAGGTCCGTGAGGCACCATAATATTATCCTGAGGTTTTCTGCTTGGGAATTCTAGTTCTGAGTCTTTGTTTCACACAGGGAGAAACATGAGGTCACAGCCACAGAGAAAGTCAAGAAAGAAACCAAATGAAATCTGGTTTCCTCTGACCAAAATATTGTCCAAAAATGCTTCTTTTTTGTTATCCAGCAACATTCTGTCCGTTTTCCACATTTTCATAAGGCAGCTTATGCTTCTGAATGAACAGAAAATTTTAAGAGAAACAAATTTATTTATCTTTGATGTTTTACAGAACACACAAGAATCCAAACATTAAAAAGTCTCGTTAATTTTTATAGATTGGAAAAGATACTGTTTTTCTGTGACATATATAATTCTGATTAATGGTTGTCACAAAAGTTATCCTTTTTCTGATCCAAGAAAACTGAAATATTAGTACTTCATCATGCTATGTTTACAGGGCTGGGTTTGAAACATAAAATCATGGAGCAAAATATCCATATATCTCTATATACATAGTCTACATATATTCTTGATAGCATTTAAAAGTATTTTGGGCAAATTTCTTGAACAGAAGTTACCAAGTGAGAGCGAGAGAGTTAGCTGCAGCCTTCCGATGGAAGGTAAGGGCAGGTTCCTGCCTCCAGGGCTGCACACGCACCAGGAACACGAGCTGGCTGGAGTCAGACAGTTCCACTGGCGGGAAACCACACAGATCCACGCGGCGTAGACAAATCGAGTTGCCTGTCCTTTAACAAAGAAAAACACCGTCATCATGTGACAAAGTAAATAAAGTAACCATAGCCACATGCCCTCTACTCTTGACAGCTGTCTGGATCGAAACTTATTAGTGTGTAAGAAACAAGCAGTGGTGGAGAAGGGACCCGAAGATTACAGCACAGGCAGGAACACACGGAACAGCACAGGAAACAGCGTTTCCAGCCCACCGCGTGGTGAGAGCAGGACAGTCTGTTTCAGTTATTGTCCCTGATGTTTTCAAAGGAGTTACGAGTGTGACTTTTTCATTTCATCGCTAATAAGTATGTCCTACGTGATTAGAATCGTTACAAAAACATCAGGGTGAAGAAACAGCCATAGTTGCCAGTTAAATCTTTTCATTACAAATTTTAGATAGCATTGCTGTTGATCCAAACTTAAGTTTATGATGTAGATTAGAGCACAGTATCAGGTTAACATTAGATGTAAATACAGCACTGACTATGACCACATTAAATATGCAATTTCTTAAGCCTTCAGCATTCCAAATAGATGTGACAGCCTCTTGTCATTGAGACGATTTGTATTGCTTTCGTACACCTGTTGACTTTGTTAAAATTCTCAGTTGAAAAGAAAACAATATGAAATAGTATTTACTGACTAAAAGAAGCAAGAACAGTTTAATAAACAGTACTATGCTGTCTTCACAGCAATAAGGCTAAGAGTTACATTGAAATCATGTATTTCTGAAAAACTTTTAGCTCTGGGAGGCCTTTTTGTTATTCCAAACAAACGTGTTTCATGTTTGAACAGAAGCAGAATGTCATTCCCTTTTAGGGGAAAGTGTGTGGCATTGTTTCATAAGTTATCATCTACTTAAGTGTTAAGCTTTTCTTAGTGAGAAAAGAGATAAAAATTACAACCACTGTATAATAAGTTAAAACCCGTGTATCACATATTTGTTTACTGTACACCTGGAGAAGGGATTCTCATTGACACGTGCTCTGCCTTACAGATTCCACGTAATCCCGTTTCGTGTGCCTGTCCTGTGTCTTCTTTGAGCAGGGTGTTTAGAGGCCTTACAACATACATGTTTTGGGGATGGCATTTCCCAAAAGCTTATAGAGCAGTGAAAAATGCCTTCCTAAATGCTTTCTGGCTCATATTTCACAAGTCCTTTTATTGGCTCAATTTTGAAATGTGCAACATCTGTTTGATAACCTCTTTCGTTCTGCAAATAAATCTCTTTACATACTTTAGATTTCTACATTGATGAATTCAGTAACAAATTTCGTGTTTGCAACTCTCCATGGAGTCTTGCTGGCTTTTGTGAAAGCGCTTTCAGGCACGACAAGTGAGCAGTCCAGGGCACTCAGGCCTGCCCAGGCTGCTCGCGGAGCTGCTCCTGGACTGAGCCTCGGTGCAGGGCGTCTTTGCTACACTCTGTAATGGCAAGAGACCAGCTGGTCCCTCCCGGCGCCGTCAGCAAAGTGGACTAAAAGTGTGTCAACACTGATGACCCAATGTACACTCAGAGCTGCAGAGTGCAGAAGACATCAGTGCTGATTTTTGGAGACAAATTCATCTCTCCTCTCTTGCATTGGCTGGCAAAAAGGAGGCCCACTTTTAGGAGCAAAGTTTGTTGTTTTTCTACTCTGGTCACAGATAAATTCGTTTGTAATCATAACTGTAAGAACTGAAGAAGCTTCTCAAAATCACTGTACAACATTGCAAAAAGAAATTTTAAACTGAACTTAATATTTTAAAAATATTTTAGAAATTAATTTTTAATTTATCTTAATATTTTAAAAATTTACAAGCTTATTTAGGGAATTATACATACACACTAAGGAAAACATAGCAATTTGAGTTCTAGTCTCCATGCCTACTCCCACAATGATGATCAGAAATAAAATTTAATTAAAGTTTAAAAATAAAGTTTGTTGAGGAAATAGAGCACTATTCCAAATTTTGTAGGATTTTTTCCTTAGAAGTTAAGCCTAGAGTTTGTGGATGTTAAGATTGTTATCTGATATCTGATAGCAAAAGCCCACAAATTTTCTTTCCTGTAGCTTAGAAGGCTTTTAAACCATCATTAGGACATCTGTACTTGTTTTTTAATCATCGCTTTTACAGGTACATGAACCGCTTGTAAAAATCTTCCCACTGGATGCAAATGCATCTCTTCCCATGAGTTCCTGGCGTATTTGGTACAGATGTTCACTCTCCTGCATTCTTATCACAAATACCTAAGAAAAATAGCAAAGCCTCACCAACGCCTCTTACTTGTAATTGTTTCAGACGCACAAGACGACAAGACATAAGAAACGGAGACCCGCTGACGCACTGCTCAGACCTCCAGCACCACGGTGAGTCTGGGGTCTGCCCTCAGACCTGCCGCTCAGCCACCCTGACACTCGTGCACACCAGCTCACGCCCACACTATGCACACGTTTCTTGGAGAACTCTTGCAGAAAGGCCACTGAACCAAAGGAAATCCAGTGGAAGGAAAATTCTAAAGCACACAAAACACAGAAAAGTATTTCATTGCCATAGGTATGATGAATTCAAGATTTTAGATCCCCCTGAAATTTACAGCTCAGCTTTCTCACAGTCACAAAAAGAAACCAGGTTTAAGTACAAATTTTATAAATAGTAGCAGTCTGAGGAGAGTAGGCAATAAAAATGTTCATTAAAATATATCAAAGAGGAAAATAATCTTAAAATTAGCCACAAGAATCACCCGTGTATATTCTGGTGATGTAAAAGATACATCTCTTCATACTCTGGTAGAGGTATGCGACTGTCACTTTAGGCTTCCTAGAAGATGCCGAGACCTGTCTAGTGTCAGGCTATTTACTTAATGCTGAAGCCTCAGCTCATCCTTTTAAAAATGCGGTAAAATCATACATTGATTTCTCTCTCTGCCCACCCCCACCATGCATGAAACAATAATGAAGCTGCACTGCCCTCTGCTGGACGAGCCTGTTAATGACACAGGTAATGAACAATTCTCAGCTCCTGACCCCTAAAAGCCCTGTGAGCACTGCCACTGAACCCTGAATCCATGTTGACCGTGTGAGTGAGTCAGCCTCCATCCTAACATCATCTCTATGTCTGTGCTCGCCCGTGGCTAATGAATGTTAGGAAGACAACACGTTACATGGTCCCTAGCCTGCACCCCAGTCTAGTTACTTCCTGAGACACGGCTCCTCCTGTTGCACTGTCTGGGGGTGCAGGGGCGGAGACCTCACGTTTACCTCACTGATGCTTGGTTTCTTGAAAGATGCCATCAGCAGCACGAGGTAGTAATGAGCAGAGCCAGTGTTTTGGGCTTAATTTGCTTGCAAACCTTTCTCCAGAAGTCCTCTGCTGTGGGTCTGTCCTCGCTGTACATAGATCACTCCTGTGGCGTTGTTTGTCCCCACGTGGGTGTGGTGGCCTCACTGAGGCTGTTATTAAAGTGGCACATTGCATCCAGGTGTCTGTCTCTACCCGTGTCACATAAATCTATCACACTGTGACCAACCCCGTTTCATTAAAAGACTATGAAGTGTTGATCCATCATTTAAAAGAATCTGTTTCTTAGATTTAGGCAGTTAAAGATGATGGTCAGAAGGGAGAATGCAGAAGGAGACGATCAGAATTCGTTCCCAGTGGGACTCTAATCCTCATGTCACTGTGAACTTTGTTACTCTGGGGATGGTATATTTCTACAGTTACATCGGATGTACCAGTATGAAGGCTGAAAGTATGCAATGGATATTTTTGAGTGAATGATGTAAAGACTTAAACTGCCAGATAGGTGGTTACCTTGCTAATTGTTTTCAGTAGATGTTTGAACTAAACAGAAGATATTCTTAATGTGAAAAATGTTTAAGTTACATATTATTATCGTATTGCTGTCATATTCAGAAGTGAAATTCTTTTGAGAAGCATTTTTGCATAGCTAGTAGCAATACTTACACAGCATCATATACAGAGTACTGTGCAATGGTTTGAAATTGTTAGAGAATATAATGTGACTGACATTTGTTTGCTTAGTAGTGTAGTTCCTTTAAAGATGCAATTAGTATTCCAAAACAGTAGTTATGTTACCATTGTGTCTATTTAAAAAAACTGACCAAAGGAAATTTTAGAAATGCAATTTTTTGGTAGAGCACTTGGCCAGCAAACGTGAGGTCCTGGGTTCCAACCCCAGTACTGAGAAAAAGTCAAACTGGATAATTAAATATTGTTGATCGTCCAGCGAATCCAGGGTTCAGAGAGCATTTCAGATTCCAGGTGTGCTCTGGTGAATTAGAGTAAGCAACACCTGGCAGAATCGGGGATCTCGGGTTGCTTAGTTTCAGAAGGTCAAGAAATGCGGATGGCATTTTCTCCTAGTTCTTAAATCAGAATACATACCTCACTAAGTAAAGGAACTGGTGTGGCTTGATGTTCCTGGATCCGTGCGTGTGCACATGTGCCCAAGTGTGCACGCCTGTGTGAACCACCCTACCTGCTCGCGATATGCGGAGGAAGGCATGCGACAGCCCAGGCAGCTTGCGGCAATGAGGTGCTCTCTCCAGGACAGCGTCACTATCCTTGTCTGCGCCTGTGCTCACCGACCACACACGACACGTGCACACCGTGGACTGTGGTAAATTACAAATGTTTGGAAGCCCAGCGTTGCATTCCGCGTCAGCCAGCCCAGCCTCACCATAGGACCCAGTGTTCTGTCGTGGGCCAGACCATGGCAGTACTCCAAAGTCCAGTGGACAGTGACCCAGCGCCGGCGCTGCTGGACCCTGTGTTTCATCTTGCTAATGTCACTTCTCACATTTGGTAAAGTGCGTGTGCTCATGTGGAAACACATAAGATAGGGAATGTTTTCAGAGAGCTACTAAGCAACATGAAGCCAAATACACACTTCAGCATGATCCTTTCCAGCTGGGATAGTAAACATGCTTGGTAACACTTTATATTTTACATATCCTGAGGTTTTAAGACAGAGGCTGTGCATGAAATTACTCCGAGTTACAGTGAGGGAAGCTTCATGGTAGATGAAACCTCTGACACCCACTGGGTCCTCATGCGAAGCAGGGTTGCCAATGAATTGGCCCTGGTGCAGTGGACATGTCCAGCTCCACTCCCCTTCATCCAGGAGCACTCTGCTTCGTCATCGGTGACCATTCACCTAGAAACCTCAGACTGCATGCACACTGCTAGGTCCTGTCTTCCCCGTCACCTCACACGGAAGGCTGAGGAGGGATTTCAGGCTGTTGCAGCCTGTTCCTTGCCCTAAGATAATTGCTGTGCTCACAGTTGGAGCTCCTCCAACTCAGCATTCAGGAGAATGACGAGCCAAGTCAATCTACATCTAAACTGTCTCCGATTTCCTTGCCTTAAAAACCAAAATGAGCAGCCCTATGATTTATGTATCCAGAAAGGAAAAAACTGCACCATAAGTACCAGTATTTTTGTAAAAAGTCATAACATCCATCTTAGATTTCTGGATCTTTGAGATATTTTATGGCCTATCTTTTAGCTTAATGGCACCCTTGAATTTAACTTCCTAATAGTTTTCTTGGCTTTTCTACATACATGCATTTCCGTTATAGCATCTTCAGTAAAACGTTCACAGAATTCAGTCTTCTAAATTATCTGCACAGCTAGCCCATCTCAATTTATGTCTTGGTTGGCATCAAAATCATTCCCAAATTTTATAAAATATCTTTGGCACAACCATCTTTATGATCTCCAGAGCTATAAATTTAATATTTTGGAGCAGTGCTATTATGATCTGAGGCATAGCCTCTTCCAAGTATGAATCTCAGCACTTAGCTCAAAGAGGAGCCTTGACTTTTGATGGATGTGCTGGTGTCTACTTTTTAAAAAATAATCTGTAATTTAATAAATTGCCAAGTTTCACCAAGTCTAACATGGAACTGAATGAGAAATGCTTCACTATTTACGTACTGCTCAGGAAAAGTACCCAACAAGTGATCTAGTGGAAGATTGCTTCGTGGCACACAGTCCCAGACAGTTCAGGAGCTCTGAGAGAGAAGTGAGTGCCTACAGAGAAGGAGATGGCAAGGAACACTGCTCATTTCAGCCACAATCCCTGGTCACCACACAGGGGGAAACACTGTGAGCTGCAAAGCGGGATTAACAAGGGTTTACCCTCGGAATTCACCCTGCAGAGCGGACTCAGAGCCTCGGCCAGGCTTACGGAAGCGTTGGATTGATGAGTTCCACAGTCCATAGAAGAAAGATTCTGAAAGAAAGCAAATCACATCAAGGGCAACCGTGAGGCACCTTCTACTCCCAGAATGATGCGAACGCACGTGCATCCTAGAATGGAATCACTGCCACGGTGTCTTCTATGGCTTTTCTGAAGCCCTTGGAAGTGACTTTATGTTTTCGAAATAACCAACCAGCAATTGCTGCCCTCTGAAAGCAGTCCGAGCGAGGAATCCAGCTTTGCTCAGTGGCGGGTGTGAGGCCCACAAGTTAAGACCAGCTTGGCGATACCGTCGCTGTCTCTAGGTGTGTGCAGGAGTCACCTGCACACACGCCTGTGACTTTACTCTCACAGCTCTGGGTTTCTGCCTGCTCTGTGTCCCTCGGCTCCAAAGCTGTGTGGGTCACATACCTTTGCGATACAAGATGGAATTTTCATTACTTTTATGGAGGATTTCTGCTTCCACAAATGGGTATTTTCTATCTCCCACCATATCTCTTGGGGAAAAGTAAATGAAACATTGAAATTCACATTTCCTGATTTTTAAGTAAATGTTCCTAGAGTGATTGTCCCTCTGGCGTATACATTATCTGTGCTTTCTTTGGTAATGCATTGGCTATAAACTCATGAAAATAAAGCATTCCAGATGTTCCACATAGACTAAACAAACAATAGATATCTTCCGAGTGGTATTGCTTTTTAAGTCACTGGGTTGCAGCTCATGATGTTCTAAGAAGTGTCCCAGCCTGTGCCAGCACAGGTTGGGGCACAGTGTTAAATGTGACTGTTCGGTGGCTTCATATTTCACTTCTTCATGCGCTGATTCCATTCTCACATCTGTAAAATAAGGCTCTCTAGAACTCAGACCCTAGTGAGTCACTCTGTGAAACAGTTACCTGCCAACCGCGAAGTTAAATTCCCTCCCCTGGAATTTGTCTGTCTAGCCATCTACCTACCTCCTGTGTTAGGACTATGCCATTTTACGAAGACATTCACAGGGATTCGTGTATTCAAGAAAAGCAGAAATTACCTACATTATAAAATCTAAAATGTTATATCTTGCTCGATAATTACTTCCCAGTACCAAGGATATAAAACAACATACTTTAAAATTTAAATTGACTTAAAAGTTGATAAATTACC